AAACCAACAAACAAAGCAAGACTAAAACAACAAAACAACACAACAACACCCCAAATCAAAGAACAAAGACACACACCAGAACCGCCAACCACCAACCACCAACCACCAAACGCACTAACTAGCTGGGAGTCCGACAGGTCACCACCAAGAGCTTCCTGCACAATGGACGAAGCTCAGCTGTCGCCCCTGCCTTTTATAACGCCCTGTGGAATGCCCTCACAATTGCCCCTTGTGAGGTCACGGCCACAAATGGCCCTGTGCGCCCTGCCTGGCCCATGGTGCTCCTCTCCCTATGGGTTCTGGCCCCCAGGACCTGGCACTGGTCATGATGCAAAGATCAAAGTCCACAAGCTCAAGGATAGGTGCGTCCTGCCCACCCACAGTGTCTCACGCACCTACCAAAACCTGTAGTGGGCTCCAATGGCCCTGGTGTGTCTGGTCCCAACACCCAAAGCTCCTTTGGCCTTCAGCCCATAGCACCTCCACCCTCCTTTGTCTGCCGCCTCAGGGAGGTTGGTGTCCTAATGTGGTGGCCCTTCACTCACATCACCGCACCCTCACACAATGCCCTGTCCCCTAAGACACCCGGGTGCAGCTTCTTCACTCCAATGGGGCTGAAAACAAACGAGCCTTGGTCCACATTTCCCCCAGAATTTCTGAGACACCTCCCTCTCCAGGAACCCTGGAACCCCCAAGGCAGTGCTTTCAACTATGCAAAGTGATCCAGGACACACCTGTAGGCCACCAATCCTAGACTCTACAAATGGGTCCTGCCGTGGCACAGAGAAACACAGGTGTGCCCAGAGGCCTTGCCCTGTCACACTCCTGCCCCTCGCCATCTTAGGCTAGCTCATCACAATAAATCCATGGGTTCAAGTTCTGAGTTTTCCAGGGTCTGATGAATCCAAGGTCAGATGGCCAGGAGATTTGGTGTGTGCACAGAACTAGCTTCCTTCTCCCTCACTCGGCTTCCTTGCTTTGTCCTCAAGTGGTGGAGAGGAAGAAGGAGTAAACTTAACTCTACCTCCTTCTTCCCCCAGCTTTCCTACTACCACCTTCCTTTTTTTCCTACCTTCCTTCCTTTCTTCCTTAACATTTTTTTTTCATCCAACTAGTTTCTGACACCAGAGACTAATATACCACACAAGAACTTGACCTCTTAGCTCTACACTGTTCCCCAGATGAACTTCAAAATGGTGCTCCAAAGTCCTCATTCTCAACCTTTGAAGGCATTTCAAGTGGGCACCATATTACCAGGCTTCATAATGGTGTCTGCATGTGTGTGTGTGTGTGTGTGTGTGTGTGTGTGTGTGTGTGTGTGAGTGAATGCATGGGCACATGTGATATTGGGGAGCTATCTAGAGTCTGTGCCTGCTCCCCGAGTGTACCAGAAAATGCCATAATTTCTTTCTTAAGGCTGAAAATAGGCCATTGTGTACATATGTCACAGTTTCTTTCTCCATACATCTGTTGAAGGGCACCTAGGTTTGTTCCATAGCTTAGGTTTTGTGAATTGAGCTGCTCTAAACATTGATGTGGCTGTATCAATGTAGTAGGCTGATTTTACGTCCTTTGGGTATAAACCAAGGTGTGGGATCGCTGTGTCAAATGGTTTTTCCATTCCAAGTTTTTCTATGAATCTCCATACAGAGTTGTTGCATCAATTTGCAGTCCCACCAGCAATGTATTTAGTGAAACTTTTCCCTACATCCTTGCCAATATTTGTTATTTGTATTTTTTTTATAATTGCCTAACTCTAGAGTGAGATAAAATTTGAGTTAGTTTTAATTTACATTGCTCTAATTGCTACGGATATTGAACATTTTTTTGCAGTTTTTGAACAATAGAATTTCTTCTTCTGTGAAATACCTTTTCAGTTCCTTTTCCCATTTAATGATTGAGTTATTTGGGTGGGGTTTCTTCTTGATTGGTTGTTTTTGTTTTGTTCTGTTGGTGTTAAAGTTTTTTTCAGTTCTTTATATATACTGGAGAGTAATGCTCTATCTGAGGTGCTGGTGGTAAAAATGTCCCCTTCTGTAGGCTGTCTCTTTACACTCTTGTTTCTAAGCTGTGAAGAAGCTTTTTAGTTTGCTATCATCCCATGTATTGATTCTTGGTTTTACTTTTACACTCCAGGAGTCTTCTTGACTCCTAAAGCCAAGATGATACAGAGTTGGGCCAACTTTTTCTTCTAGTTATGGCAGGGTCTCTGGTCCATTGCTTAGGTCCTTGGTCCACTTTCAGTTGAGTTTTTGTACAAGCCTATTGGTGCTTACATCATACCACCCTGTGACATAGATGTTGAATATGGACCTACAGGAATTGATGTTTACCCTGGGAGGATCTGGTCTTGCTTTAAACCATTCCTCTTTGTCATTTCCCTACTCCTTCCTTTGGTAATGGGGACATTTAGCCTGTGTGTGTGTCTTGGGAACGTGCAACCGTTGGTTTGATTTTTACAGTGGTTCATATCAAATATTTATCCTTGAGTCTTGAGAGAAGACTTTGAACTTGGATGTTTGAGCCATATTGGAACTATTGACTACAGGAACTCTTGGAGATTAATGAAATTCAATTCGCATTGTCTCACAGACAACAGTTCTGGGAGCTGTGGGCACAATGTTATGTTTTGGATCTTACATGTCTTCATTAAGCCCATGTGTTAAAGACTTGGTCCCCATGCAGGAGAGCTCAGAGATTAGGCCTTGAGCAGAAGATAGGATCATAAAGGGCTCTGACCTCACAAATAGATTATAAGAATGCTAGTGGATCCATCACTCAAGGGTTTATTTGGAGGTGTGCTCAAGGTTGGAGGATATAGATCATTGGGGGAATGCCCTCTAGGGTATATTTTGTCATTTGTCCCAGTCTTCTTTTCTCCCTTCCTCCTAATCTTTGCTTCCTGGCCACAATGAGGTAATCAATATGGCTCCACTACATGGTCTCTGTCATCATGTTCTGTCTTGCCAGAGGCCCAAACCAATAGGGTCAGATAATTATAGACAATAAACAGAAATAATACTCAGATACTATGACATGATACAGTAACCAGAGATGTTATCCTCTACTGTGACCTTGTATAATTATCAGAAACATACAGAGAAATTGTGATCAGGTATAGAAAACACAGACAATACTCAGATCCTGTGACCTGATACACTATCCAAAGAGATTATCCAGACACCAAGATCAGGTACACTAAACAGAGACATTACAGAGATACTGTGACCAGTAAGAAAAGAGTATTAGGTTTCTCTAGAGGAACAGAATCAACAGGATATATATAGGTATGGTTATAAAAAGGGGATGTGTTAGATTGTCTTATACACCAGAAACTGGATTGTCCTACAGTGGCCATTTGCAGACTGGAGAGCTAGAGAGATCAGTAGCAGCTCAGTCCATGAAACTTGAGTCTTAGAAGAAAAGGAACCATGATGAAAGGTTAATAATCTTGAGAACTCCTTGCTAATCTTGTTCCCAGAATGTGCTGTCTCCAACTGCCAAACTGCAGTATGTATTCCCTCACCCGGTTGCAGGCAAACCGCCCACTTGCCCTGTCCCGTCAATGAACTTCCCTCCCTGCCCTCTCCAAGGAAAGAATATAAGCTTTGCTTAGGATGTTCTCAGGACTCTTTGCTGTATCTCTCTTTGCTAAAGTGAACTCTGAGCCCCAGCACGCTGGTCTCCAAATAAACCCTTCTGTTGTTGCATAAGACAGTCTCTTGTGGTCTCTTTCTCCGACGTTTCGCCGGACCCTAACATTTGGTGCGTTGGCCAGGAAGTATGCATTGCCGGACAGGGAGACCCCAACAGACTCCTTGGGGGGGGTAAGTAAGGGGTCTTTTCTTTTCCTTCTTCTTCTTCTCCTTCTCTGTCTTCTCCTTCTTGTTTTTCCTTTGCGATCGCTCAAAGTTTGGTTTTTTGCTCAGTGGAGAGCATGAGCTCTCAGAGCCTTTCTGGTTTTTTGGTTTGGGTTGGCAGAGTGTGGTTGCCCGCGGAGAGTGTGAGCTCCCCCTGGCAGTGGTGGACAGACGTGTCCAGAAGCCACAGGCCACATCTTTAAAGGGATGCTTTGAAGGACTCTGGGAGGGATGGAAGTGCCCTCATCTGGGAGGGACGGAGGTGCCTTCATCTGTTGTATTCTGCTGCCAACCCGTCTGGTTTTGCCGGCAACAATTCTTTCTCTCAAGTTGAATTCACTGTCTGTTTTAATCTTTGCCTCTGAACTTGTGTTACACATTTACTGTTTACTATGTGTCCGTGTTTGTGTCACGTTTATATTGTCCCTGTCTTTGTTCAAGTAACTTTCATTATGGGACAGAACCATTCCACGCCTCTGTCCCTGACCCTTGATCACTGGACTGAAGTCCGCTTAAGGGCTTAAAATCTTTCTTTTCCAGTAAAACACCAGACCTGGCAGACTCTCTATTCCTCCGAATGGCCCACCTTTGGCGTCGGATGGCCCCCAGAAGGATCTTTCTACTTTCCACTAATTTAAAAAGTCAGAGATATTGTCTTTGTCTTTCAGCCGGGACCACATAGCCATCCAGATCAACAGCCATATATCTTAACGTGGGAGAACCTCTGCAAATCTCCTCCTCTATGGGTGAATCCTTTTCTTGTCCCCGCTCTAACTCCTCCCCCCACGATTCTATCTCTCAAACCCTCTGCTCCTTTTCCACCCTTTGTTCTCCCTGAGTCTCAAGATTTGACTCTGCTGGACTCTCCTCCCTTTCCTTATCCCTTGCCTTCGTTCCCCAACCCCCAACACACTCTAAGTGATTCCCCTGCTGCTGACTCTGCCTCTCCACCATTGGAGGAAGCTGAGCCAGCCCAGTACCCTCCAGATGACTCCCCCATGGCACACACAGCCCCTCCTCCTCTGGAAGAAACTGGCCCAGCTAAAAGAACTCAAAGAACCTGCTGACGTTTTCACACCAGCCTACTTGGGATGACTGCCAACAACTCTTAGGCACTCTCTTCATGACAGAGGAACAAAAGAGAATCCTCCTGGAAGCTAGAAAAAGTATCCTCGGACCAGATGGGCGACTGACACAACTTCCCAACATAATCGAAGCCGATTTCCCCTTGAACCAACCCATCTGGGACCCCAACACCTTTGAAGGTAGGGAGCATCTGTCCATTTATCGCCGGGCTCTAATAGCGGGTCTCCGAGCAGCTGCTAGATGGCCAACTAATTTGGCCAATGTAAGAGAGATTATTCAAGGGCCTAATGAATCTCCCTCTATGTTTCTGGAGAAAATTATGGAGGCGTATAGGAGTTATACTCCTTTGGATCCTCAGGAAGAGGATCAAAAGGCATCTGTCACAATGGCCTTTACTGGGCAAGCTGCCCTGGATATTAAAAAAAATTACAGTGCTTAGATGGATTACAAGACATGACTTTGAGAGATTTAGTCATAGAAGCCGAGAAGGTATACTATAAGAGAGAAACTGAGGAAGAGAAGGAACAAAGGAGGGAGAAAGAAAGGGAGCAAAGGGAGGATGAAAGAAGCAAAAGACAGACTGAGGCATTGACTAAGGTCCTGGTCACAACAAGAAATAGGCCAGAACTTAAGAGACAGGGAGACAGAAAGGGATACCTGGGCCCACGCCAGAAGCCACCTCTGGCCTCAGATCAATGTGCCTACTGTAGAGAAAAAGGACACTGGGCCAAAGAGTGCCCTAGAAAGAAACAGCCACGCCAGCCAGCCATTCTAACTCTGGAGGATGACTAGGAAAGTCGGGGCTTGGATCCCCTCCCTGAGCTCAAGGTAACTTTTGAAGTGGAGGGGACCCCAGTAAACTTTGAAGTGGATACAGGGGCAGTATACTCAGCCCTTAAGGCCCCATTGGGCCCTCTATCAACTAAAAGGTCTCTAATTCAAGGGGCTAACGGCAGTAAATATCAGGCTTGGACAACTAAGAGGACCATGGACCTGGGGAAAGGAAAAGTCCATCACTCCTTCCTAGTGATCCCAGAATTCCCAGCCCCATTGATGGGCAGAGATCTGCTCACCAAACTCTGGGCCAGGATAACTTTTAACCCTGAAGGCCCCCAAATGGAATTTTTAAATCCTTCAGTAAAAACTCCTATAGTCATGGCTTTAACTATGCCAATAGAAGGTGAACATCAACTCTTCACATCCCCCAAGACTGATCAAACAGACAAGCTATCCCAGAAATGGATAACAGATTACCCAGATGCCTGGAAAAACTGCTAAATTAGGCCTAGCCATAAAACAACCTCCAATAACAGTGAAGTTAAAACCTCAGCCTCCCCAATTAATATTAAACAATATCCTCTGAGCAAAGAAGCTAAAGATGGGATAAGGCCCCATATTCAGAAATATCTGGCCTTAGGGGTCCTAAAGCCCTGTCAATTGGCCTGGAACACTCCCCTGCTACCAGTAAAAAAGCCAGGAACCAGGGACTATCGCCCCATTCAAGACTTAAGAGAGATTAACAACAGAGTGCAGGACATTCACCCCACAGTACCTAATCCGTACAATCTGCTTAGCACCCTGAACCCTGAGTGAAAATGGTATACTGTCCTGGACTTAAAAGATGCTTTCTTTTGCTTGCCTCTGCATAAAGATAGTCAGTTGCTGTTTGCTTTCGAATGGGTAAACCCAGAAACCGAAACGTCTGATCAACTAACTTGGACCAGACTCCCACAGGGGTTCAAAAACTCCCCCACTCTGTTTGATGAAGCCCTCCACAGAGATCTCAACAACTTTAGAACTACGCACCCCAAAGTCACCCTGCTTCAATGTGTGGATGACCTGCTACTGGCAGCCGATACCAAGGAAAACTGTGAGTCTGGGACCCAAGCACTATTATCTGAGCTTGCTCAACTCGGGTATAGAGCTTCTGCCAAAACGGCCCAAATTTGCCAGCAAAAAGTAGTCTTCCTGGACTATTCCCTTAGGGGCAGTAAACGATGGCTCACTGAGCCCAGAAAACAAACCATTGTGCAGATACCACCCCCATCTAACAAGAGGGCAAATGAAGAGGCTAAATTGGCAGCCCTAAACGGAGTAACCATGTTAACACTTTCCACACCAGGGGAACATAAGGACACTGACACTGAACTCCTCTACTGAGCCCAGTCTGCAATTTCAGAAAGCCCTACACTACATTAAAAATGTACATCAAGTCACTCACCTTGGCTCAAAGAAATTGCAGGCATTCCCGAAGGATCAAGAACAGAGTTTTCCACTAACCGGCTCACAGCGAAAGGAAATAGCTGAACGGGTAACAAAAACCTGTCGGGTCTATCAATTGGTTAATGCTTACCCTTCCAAGCTTCCTGCAGTAAGGCGCCTTCGAGGAACCAGACCAGGACAATTTTGGGAAGTGGACTTTACTGAAATTAAGCCAGCAAGGTATGGACTTAAATATCTCCTAATCTTTGTAGATACATTTTCAGGATGGATTGAAGCCTTCCCCACACACAAAAAAAGAAACGGCGCAAATGGTGGTCAAGAAG